CACACACACACACACACACACACACACACACACACACACACACACACACACAACCTCTTGACAATATGCGTTACTTGCATTGCGTAGATGCAAAAAGAAGCGAACTTCAAACAAGAAAAAAATACAGCAAGTGAAAAATCCGCCACCAATAGGGGACATCTCCATTTACAAAGCTGATGCTTAGATAAAGCTAAAAGCGAATAAGATGAAGCTGATGCTTAGGCGCAGCTGAGAGCTCTCGGCTTTACCTAAACGTCGGATTCATAAATACGGAAGCCCAAAACTGTACACAAGCTTATATAAGGTGGTTTCCACCCGTAACCTCTCCTTTTGCTAAGCTTTTTTTTTTGCCTTTACTTTCTCGATTTTTATTTGCGTCTGCTTTCTTCAGCTTTTATTCACGAGTTCTGACTCTTTAGTTCGCTTTTTCCGTTTTTCTTTCGCAATTTCAGACTTTCTTGAATTTGGTTTTCTTTGCACTGCTGCGTTTTCCCTTCTTTTTTTACTTTTGCCTCAGTTCTTAACTCGAACTCCTGACTACTGCCTTTGTCCCCTTCTCCGTCCTGCTTCGAAGTCCTGCACCCATAGCGGCATTCGGGCACGCATCACCCATCACCCTGCAGCCACTGTCACTATTAATCTTTCCGTACTTCTCACTAGCCCGCTTTTCCCTCTCTTTCATGTTGCCCCAATTCGTGCCCTCGGAGCTGCATCTGGGCACCCACCCACCAACATTCCAATCCCGTCAATCTCCTAGCCAGCATCCCCAGCCACACATTTTAGCCATGCTGTGCTGGGCAGCGCTACCCCGCACTTCTGACAAAGTACCAAACGGCGTTGGCATATGACGTCACGTAATAGCGTGTAGGGAAGAACTTGGAGCAACAGCCAGGCATTCGCAGATCGTGTGAAACGGCAACCGAGCCAAGCCAAACCGAGTTTTAGTAATTGCCAGTTTGCATATACACAAAATCGCATATTGTCATGAGGCTGCCTGTGTGTGCGTGTCTGTGTCTGTGAGCTCGCACTTTTTGTCATCTACTTTCGACTCCAGAACCAACAATACTGAAAGGCTGAAATTTCGGGAGTATATGCCCACCACCAGTGGAATCCTCCCCTTTTAATATCATCACCTGCTTACGTCTCGGTGCCGCGTACGGACGTTTTAAAAAATATGCAGATTTTTTCACGGGAAAGCGATCTCAGGAACCAGACAAGACAGGAAGCTGAAAGTCTGCAGAGAATTTGTGAACTAAAGATTTCAAACTCAGCCTCTAGATATTCATGGTTCTCACGTACAAGCACGTGTAAGTTTTGTTCGGAAAATTGTTAACTCGATAACCAGAAAAACTGGAAGGCTGAAATTTTAGGGGTATATTTCCAACCCACATACAACTTAATGATTCTAAATTCAGCTCCCCGCTCCACGTGCGGGCATGAAAGTTTTGACTGGAAAATTACTAACTCGAGAACTATGAAATCCGGAAAGGTGAAATTTTAGGGTAATGTTCTCTAACCAAGTGCAACGTCAATATCCCATACTCAGGCTTCAGGTGTGCATGATTCTAAAGTACGGACACATAAAAGCTTTAGCGGGAAAATCGCTCATTGAACAGCCAGATCATTTGAAAAGAACGACCGCTAAACGGAAATATTCATCTACTTTACGCAAAATTTGCGTTGATTTACGCTAGTGAGCGCAAAAGGTAGGTGTAAAGCAACAACTATTCGTGCAGTTAACGACCTGAGTGCTTCAAGTTTGGTGCAAAAGCACATGGCCATACTGGCGTGCATTCCAGCCTGGGTTGTTATTCGTAAGATACGAAATAAATTTTTCTACTCTTACTTCGTGGCATCATTATCATGCTGTGCTACCACTAAACTTTTGCAGTGCATGCTTTGATAGTCTTATACTATGAATAAGCACAATGTTTACGCTGAGCCGATCGAGCCTAATTGATTCGTCGATGTTGTCATAAAATGTGGCTTCGCTTGACATCTCGGACCATCCAAGCATTTCAGGACGATTGCCACTGTGATAAGCAGGTAGTGATTCTCGATACAACTGCAATGCGCAGCAGTGTTTTAGTGGTATTTGTAACACAGTTTATTTTCAACGGTTTCACTACTGCAGAGAATGTGAAATAACTCTAATTCAGATAGACCTCCAAAAGATGAACACTTTCTACATGATAGTTGAACTTTCTATGAACGGATTGCACGATGGCGCCAAAAAGCGACATCATTCACCTTTTTTCCAAAACGTGCTTGGTAAGTTTCGGCCTTTTTTTCGAGAATTGTAGCATTTGATATATTATTTTAACAATAAAAATCATTGGCGACGCGCACCGGCGGGCCCGTGCGATCATGCGTTTTTGCAGTGTTTCGCGCTGCAATAAGATCACTCGAAATTCCGCTAGCTAGAAACCTCTTGTACATACTGATCCTCGAATTTCGGGAAGTTAATTATCCACGCTATGGTTGGACAGGGAAAATTCCCTTGAAATCCCAGGTTCCCAGCTTTCTCAGTTCCCGAGTTACCCAAACTACAGCCAAAAAATTTCACGGGGCCGTACATAGCCACCACGCATAACGGGGGGCTGAATTTGATAAATTGAAGTTGTAGATGAGTTGGGAACGTTTCCTCAAAGTTTCAGCCTCCCAGCTTCCCTGGTTCCGGAGTTATTAATTTTCCCGCCAAAAATTTTCACGGGGCCGTATGTGGCAACCACACATTGGGGGGCTGAATTTGATAAATTGAAGTTGTAAATGAGCTGGGAACATTTCCTGAAACTTCCAGCCTCCCAGCTTTCTTGGTTCCCGTGCTAGCATTTTTCGCGCCAGGAAACCTCAGGGGGCCTTACGCGGGAACCACGGACCCCCGGGGGCTGAATTTGAAATCTTTGAGTTCTACTTGAACTGGAAGGATAATCACAAAATTTCAGCTTTCTAGCTTTTCTGGTTCTCGAGTTAGCGATTTCCCCGCCAAATCTTTGAGGCGCTCATACGCGGGAACTAGACGTGCTTGAGGGTTGGTACCGCGGTCCTGGGGTGGCACTTGGTCGCGGAACCCACTCGCAAAATTTTGGCGCCGGAGATTGCTTGAGTGCCGAGTTGAAATACCCGGACAGACACACACACACACACACACCGGGGTCGTCACAATATTTGTTTCTGCATATTATGCAAAAACGCATAACAACCAGTATGATAAATTTTATGCTAAATTGACAGTATAGAATTTTATGTTTTTAATGTTTTGTGAAGTCAGCTAAAATAATTGGCCAACGCACGGACTGTCCGTGCGATGGTGCGTTTTTTGCAAAGTTCCCCGCAGTTTTTGTCGCTACCGACATCGGTTTTTTCGGCAGATCCTTCTGGCTAAACAAATTAAGACTGGCCGCCAAATCTGGCAGGAAACATCCCCTTAAAATTTCAGCTTTCTAACTTTCCTGGCTCCTGAGTTAGCAACTAACTGGAAGAAAAATTTCACGGACCCGCGCGCGGGTACCAAGCATACCCGAGGGCTGGGTTTGAGCTCATTAATACCTACTTGGACGAGGAACATTGCCGTAAGATTTCAGCATTCTGAATTTACCCGAAAAAAAATTTGGTGGACTCATACGCGGGCACCACGTTTACCCGGGGGTTAGGTTTGAGTACATTAGCATATACTTGGACGGGGAACATTCCTTCATAATTTCAGCTTTCTAGCGTCTCAGAGTCCCGAGTTATGAATCTACGCGGGAAAAATTTTGGCGGGCCCGTACGCGGGTACCACGCCTACTCGGGGGCTGGGTTTGAGCTGATTAGTCCTACTTGGACGGGGAACATTTCCGTAAGATTTCAGCTCTCTAGCTTTTCTGGTTCGCGAGTTAGTAGCTTACTCGTAAAAAACTTTGGCGGGTTTTTACGTGGGTGCCACGCGGGAAAGACCACCCATTTTGGGGATGGGAGCCCGTACATGCATGTAGATTAGGAACCCAAAGTTTCAGCCCTGTAGCTTTTGTGGGTCTCTAGATCAAAAATCGGTACAGACGCACAGCGCACACACAGACACAAACACACACACAGACAACCTCTCGTCAATATGCTTTTTTCGCATTGCATAGCTGCAAAAAACGCATAAAAACAAATTTTTACAGTTAGCTGGAAAAAAATAGCTAAATAAGCCAAAAAATTTTTGTTTCTGCTTTGTTTCCTTTTAAAATTATAAAAATGCTTTAAATTTTCATCCAATATCAGAATAAGGTTTTAAACGATTTTAAATTATTTACAAAAATTAAAAATGCTCTCCGTATTCGCTCTTTGTGTGGGGAGCAGAGACATTTATCGGTAGCTGGACTGGTAAAAATGCCAACAGCAACAAACATCTGCTGGCAAAACTACCGAAGATTCCTTCTTTTGGTTTCCTAGGAGCAAGTTAATGGCGGGCTTGGCAACATGATAAATACCGGCATCAGATTAGCCAGATGAACGAATCGTAGCTGGCCCTACTGGTGGAGTTGAATTTGCCACCTGCTGCACAACGGTAGCGCTACTTTCGAAAGCGTCATGCCTGTCAGTGACTGTTCAAACGTCTTAAAATTTTTAGTTGATAATATTCAGTGCTCTCGTTTTTAAATATTTATCAAATTTGAGCACGAGATCATTCGCCAAGACTCCAAAATATTTTAAGTTTGTAACTTTGCAATTTCTCGTTACTTACGTTCATACATTTCCGACGCCAAAATTTCAGTCTAAAGTGAAAATTTCCTTTCGCTTTCGCAACTGCGCTGATTTGCTGTTTGTTTACAATCCCCACTCGCTAAAAACACATGAAAGCATTTATTCGCTGCTCGTCCCGGCTTATAACGATTGTTGTAAAAATGCACCTCATCGTCGC